AAAAAAAAAAAAATCTGTTTTAATGTCACCACTGATCTTATTAGAAAGTCTTTAAGTACTGGAAGGGCACGGCACCAAGCTCACAATAACGGATAAAAATTTTCTAAAATCCTAATTTTTCCCTGAATGTTCTTTTGTAAATCATTGATAACAGTGATTGCTTCAGCAGCATATACCAAAACTGCAATGATACAGAGAAGATTAGCATGGCCTTGGTGCAAGGATGTCATGAAAATTTGTGAAGTGTTCCGTATAAAATCAATTGATCAATCATTCAGTCAAGCACTGGTAACAAATACGGTCACAGCTGTCTAAAAGCAACAGGCTCACTTTGTTCATTTTCAAGAAAATATCTGCCAAATGTTCAAGTCTCAATAACAGTTTATCGGCAATCTTTCAAGTAAAAAGAATATTCTATGAAAAAAGCTGCCAGTTCAGCTCACAAATCAATTGCTTTCCCTTAACATAACCATAGAACTTTAGTATGCAGAAGTGTCTGATATATACATCCTATTTCAAACAGAATTTTGTTTTTTTTTTTGAGACAGAGTCTCACTTTGGTGCCCAGGCTGGAGTGAGCACCGTGGCATCAGCCTAGCTCACAGCAACCTCAATCTCCTGGGCTCAAGCAATCCTTCTGCCTCAGCCTCCCGAGTAGCTGGGACTACAGGCATACGCCACCATGCCCGGCTAATTTTTTCTCTATGTATTAGTTGGCCAATTAATTTCTTTCTATTTATAGTAGAGACGGGGTTTCGCTCCTGCTAAGGCTGGTTTCGAACTCCTGACCTCGAGCAATCCTCCCGCCTCAGCCTCTCAGAGTGCTAGGATTACAGGCGTGAGCCACCATGCCCGGCCTCAAACAGAATACTTTTAAAATGTATACTCAAGGGTCAAGATTTAATGAAGTTAATCATTTCTATTGCTTCATAAAACATTATGAAAGAAAACTGACTTTTAATCTTATTTATAAACTACAAAGCTGGGCTCAGTGACTCACACCTGCAATCCTAGCACTTTGGGAGGCCACGGCTGGAAGATAGCTTGAGGCCTGGAGTTCAAGACCACATTGGGCAACAGAGACTCCTGTCTCCACAAAATATTAAAACATTAGCCAGGCATGGTGGTGCACACCTGTAGTCCCAGCTACTCGGAGGTTAGGCAGGAGGATCGCTTGAGCCAGGAGTTTGAGGTTGCTGTGAGCTAGGCTGATGCCACGGCACCATTCTAGCCTAGGCAACAAAGCGAGACTCTGTCTCAAAAAAAAAAAAAGAATAACTTCCTAACTGTATGAAGTCACTCTCATCCCTCTCCTTACTGTATGTCAAAATACAGAGGTAAAAAATGGCAATAGTGGAGTTCCAAATAGAACTCTTCTGCACAGCCAAAGAAACTGTCAAGAAAGCAACAGACAACCCACAGAATGAGAGAAAATTTTTGCAAGCTACACATCTGATAAAGGGCTGTTAATCAGAATCTATATAGAACTCAGGAAATCAGCAAAGAAAAAAATCAACAATCTATCAAAAAGTGGGCAAAGGACATGAACAGAACTTTCCAAAAGAAGACAGAATAATAGCCAACAAACATATGAAAAATGCTCAACTCTCTAATCATCAGGGAAATCAATCAAAACCACAATTGAATATCACTTATCTCCGGTAAGATGGCTTTATTAACAAGTCCCAAAACAATAAATGTTGGCATGGATGTGGAGAGATAGGAACACTCCTACATTGCTGGTGGGACTGCAAACTAGTTCAACCTCTGTGGAAAGCAATATAGAGATACCTTAAAGTGATACAAGTAGATCTACCATTTGATCCAGCAATCCCATTACTAGGCATCTATCCAAAAGAACAAAAGTCACTCTCTGAAGAAGACACCTGCAATCGAATGTTTATAGCAGCACAATTCACAATTGCAAAGATGTGGAAACAACCGAAGTGCCTGTCAAATACATGAGTGGATTAATAAAATGTGGTGTATGTATACCATGGAGTACCATTCAGCTATAAGAAACAACGGTGATATAGCACCTCTTGTATATTCCTGGATAGAGCTGGAACCCGTTCTATTAAGTGAAGTATCCCAAGAATGGAAAAATAAGCACCACATGTACTCATCAGCAAATTGGTATTAACTGATCAACACATAAGTGGACATATAAGAATAACATCTATTGGGTGTCGGGCAGGTGGGGGGGAGAGAGAATGGGTATATACATACATAATGAGTGTGATGCGCACCAACTGGGGGATTGACACGCTTGAAGCTCTGACTCCAGGGGGGAGGGGGGCAAGGGAAATATATGTAACCTTAACATCTGTACCCCCATAATATGCTGGAAAAAATTAAAAATAAATAAAAATGAAAGTAAAATAAAATTAGAAGCTACAGCAAAAAAAAAAAAAGAACTCTTCTGCCTCTGTTCAACAGCAAGATAGCAGAGAACTCATTTCCTATAGCCCTACCCACTCAAAGATCCTGCATTATTCCTCATAGTAAAGAAACGATAAAGCTTCTAAGGACATTACTCCTTAGCTCCAAAATCTATTCATAAGGGTTATATTTTTTAAATTATGAACAATGCTTTATTACATCTGGTATAATAGCATGACTGACTGAACTGAACAGTCTCGGAAGCACATTATTATACTGCAGTATTCAGACCTTATAGTTTTCCCCTTACCTTTATTTCTGAATCCAGACAATATTTTTATTTCTTGCTACAGTGAACTCCAAAAAAAGTAGCCAAGTTAAAGGTCTATCTTATAAAAACTCTCAAATAAGTTGCTTTTTCAAATAAAAAGATACGGTTTACATAATTTTCTCCATCCTTTTCTTACAACTTATTTTTCCTCCTCTATCACGGTTTACCTATAAAACTTTATACAGGTCTGTTCTCAACTCTGAAAATAAACTATTTCTCTACATTACTGTTCCCAATATATACATTTCTCCATCTCTGCCCAACCAGATTATAACTCCATCTTCTATTTTTTAAAAAATAAACCCAGTTAAGAAGGTGGGAGAAAACAAACAAACAAAAATGAATAAATAAATACACCCATTAATACCTAAACTATTTGGTTCATAAAAGGGAACCAAATAACTTTATTTGGTTATTCCAATTTGGTTCCATTATTGGTTTAATAAGATGTTTATTAAACTAACTATAAATTTTCTTTAAATCCAATTAAATGTCCCATTCTCTATCATCAATCTTTACCCAGACTTACAGCCTGAATTTTTGCATGAATTAGGGTTTATATTCTTCTTTGTTTGAAATAGGAATAGCACTTCTAGAAGCTAAGAAGAGGGAGAAGATAAGGCAAATCAAGATAGTAAGGATATGGCAGTCAAGTAGGTATCTTGAAAACAAAAAATAATCAGTCTTTATCTAATGACAGATTCGTTTCCATTACAAGGCAGCAATTCTTTTTGGTAACTTTCCTCCTTTTCGTCTTCTGCAACAAGTATCAATTTTTTAATCTGCTTCACTGTAAACTAATTGTGCAACTTTCCTGAGCAGAGTACAGAAATACAAGATAAAAACTGACTCTATACCTGAATAATCTCTTAACAAACCTTCATATCATTTAATATTTTCATTAAAATCCTAAAGATAACAACAAAGTTAAATAAAGCTAAGGGGAATAAAACTTACCACCAAACAAAGGTTCTGGTTCCACCAATATTTCTTGCTTTTGAGGAATTGGGGCACGGACTTCTTCTCTATTTAAGAAAAGTGGAAAATATCAAAATGAATATAATTTTCTGCTATGTGTTTTCTTTCCGTAATTACTATGAATGCATTCAAATTAACAAGGAAAATGACTTAGTGACTTTTAGGAGCCACAGTAACCATGATAATTGAGTTTTAGATGGTTTTCATATAAAGATCAACTGGAATTAAGTACCTGGCATATCTAGCTGAAATGGTTTATAAATGAAGAGATAAAACAGAAAAACAAAAAATACTTCCATTTCCCTCTCAAGTTCCCTACCCTAAATTCTGTTTAGAAAAAAAGAGGACACAAAAAAATTCCCCCCAAAATCAGGCAAAATGAATAGAAAACTATAGGCTTAATAGAAGCAATATCACATCACTACCACATCAAAGACTAGATAATTAAATCACAAGGATATACTAAAATAAGCTTAAACAAATAGGCACTAAACTTTATCTAATTATGAATAAAGCTAACATAGGTATAAATGTGGATTATTTACTATATAGATTCTAACATACAGAACAGAAAAAGTAGTTAGTCGTCAATGATTCACAACTGTAATCTCAGCACTTTGGGAGGATTGCTTGAGTCCAGGAGTTTGTGACCAGCCTCAGTAATATAGCAAGACATTGTTTCTACAAAAAAAAAAAAAAAAAAAGGAAAAGAAAACCCAGCTGGACCCAGCTACTCAGGAGGCTGAGACAGTAATACTTCTGAGCCCAGGAGATGGGCAACAGAGCAAGACCCTCTCTCAAAAAACAAATAAACAAAAATCCTCTTTTTACAGTATAAGCCAAATTAGCAAGAAAAAAATTTTTTAGTGTGTGAGCTATGTTGGAGAAGAATGGGATACCACACTTGAAATGCACAGCCAACATTAACAGGAAAAAAAACTTCATAACACCAGGACGCTGGGGCAGGCGGACCACTTGACCTCAGCAGTTTGAGGTTGCAGTAAGCCATGATGACATCACTGCACTCTAGCTGGGACAACAGACAAAGACCTTATAGCTCAGGCCAGGCATGGTGGCTCATGCCTGTAATCCTAGCACTCTGGGAGGCTGAGTCGGGCAGATCACTCAAGGTCAGGAATTCGAAACCAGCCCCAGCAAGAGCGAGACCCTGTCTCTACTAAAAATAGAAACAAATTAATTGGCCAACTAAAAACATACAGAAAAAATGAGCCGGGCATGGTGGCGCATGCCAGTAGTCCCAGCTACTCAGAAGCCTGAGGCATAAGGATTGCCTGAGCCCTGGAATTTGAGGTTGCTGTTAGCTGAGCTGATGCCACAGCACTCTAGCCCAGACAACAGAATGAGACTCTGACTCAAAAAAAAAAAAAGACCTTAGCACAAAAAGGAGAAAAAAAATTCATAAGATATTACTAATGATTTTCAAAGTTCACACTTCATTTAGAAACAATATTATTCTAGAACCTGGAACTAGATCAACAAAAAAGGCAATTATGCCTATATGCTATCAGGCTTTTTAAATTTATCTCTAATTTAGTAAAAATACAATCCTGGTCTTATGCCTATTGCAGGAATCCTCTAGTATCTCATATTGTAAACAATGAGTTTATAAAAAGCTATAAGTATTAAAGTCTCATTTGACATAGACATGACAGTGCTCTAAGAATTTAAACTAAGTAGAAAAGTCTCCACTCGATACTTTTTCAGAAGCTTTCAACCTTTAATTTTTTGTTTCAAAAATCAATGACTTCCGGAAGGGCACGGTGGTTCACGCCTGTAATCCTAGCACTCTGGGAGGCAGAGGCAGGAGGACTGCTTGAGCTCAGGAGTTTGAGACCAGCCTAAGCAAGAGTGAGACCCTGTCTCTACTATAAATAGAAAAAACTAGCTGGGCATGGTGTTGCGGAGCCTGTAGTCCCTGTAGTTAATCAGGAGGGTGAGGCAGGAGGATCACTTGAGCCCAGGAGTTTAAGGTTGCTGTGAGTTAGGTTGACACCATGGCACTCTAGGCCAGGTGACAGAGCAAGCCTCTGTCAGAAAAGAAAAGGGGCCAGGCGCGGTGGCTCACGCCTGTAATCCTAGTACTCTGGGAGGCCGAGGCGGGTGGATCGCTCAAGGTCAGGAGTTCGAAACCAGCCTGAGCAAGAGCGAGACCCCATCTCTACTATAAATAGAAAGAAATTAATTGGCCAACTAATATATATAAAAATAATTAGCCAGACATGGTGGCACATGCCTGTAGTCCCAGCTACTCGGGAGGCTGAGGCAGCAGGATTGCTTGAGCCCAGGAGTTTGAGGTTGCTGTGAGCTAGGCTGATGCCACTGCACTCACTCTATCCTGGGCAACAAGCAAAACTCGTGTCGTTCAAAAAAAAAAAAAAAGAAAGAAAAAAAAAAAATTAGCCAGCAATGGGTGGCACAGCCTTGTGTCCCAGCTACTCGGGGAAGCTGAGGCAGAAGGACTGCCTGAGCCCAGGAGTTTAAGGTTGCTGTGAGCTAGGCTGATGCCACGGCACTCACTCTAGCCTGGGCAACAGAGTAAGACTCTGTCTCCAAAAAAAAAAATCAATGACTTCCCTTTAAACAAGGTGCATGTCTAATATTTTCCAAAGACTGCTGGACTTTGGTTCAATAGTGATTTATTTTAACTCTCACTGGTATCAAATGTAAATCTCTTCACCATTTATTACTATTTATTTTCTATATATTACAATTCTACCATGTTTCTCTGAAAATAGATAGGGTCTTATATTTATTTTTCCTCAAGAAGACACCCTAGGGCTTATTTTCAGGAGATGTGTTATTTTCCCCTCAAAGCCTCAGCTTGCAGCACGCACAGGATGGCTGGGACCTGACAGGGGGAGCTGACCTTGTTGGTGGGGCTGCCCGCACCTTTCTGGTCACCTCTGGGATAGTAGCTGTTACGATGGGACAGATGAGAAGGGCTGCTATTCTTCTTTACCGCTCCAGGACAAAATGCATGGGTTGTGCAGATACACAGCGTAGCCATGCCCATCACTAGGTCTTATTTTGGGGGTAGGGCTTATATTGCACAAAAGCTTAGAAATCCTGCTAGGGCTTATTTTATGGGTAGGTCTTATTTTCGGGGAAACACGGTATATGCTAAAGATGCTTCTAATGATTAACTAGTTACATGTAGCTAAGGTATAAAGGACCAGAAATATTTTTCAAAAATTTTCATGGCAACTCCAAGCTTTTCTGGGACAATGAAGGAAAATCTAGAATTGGAAAATCAGGTCGGGGTTTCATACGTAGCAGAGCAGCTCCTTCACTGCAATCTATTGAAAGTCAGCCCTCAACACATAAAAAATATTTAAAAAGAAAAATAAATAAAATTGAGAAATCTGAGCTTTATTGGACTTTATTTCTATATTTGCTACTTGATTGCTAGGAATTAAGCTTCAGAAAATGGCTATGCCCCTGCTTCCTCATCATTAAAATGTGGATAATAATGCTGTCCTGTAAGATTTTAATTGTAGTAGTTATTGTTTTTTGGTTTTTGTTTTTTTTTTACCATGAAGCACATAGGCCCTGCCTCCTGGCCATAGGCCAATCATACCAGGCTACCCCCTCACCATCCCCTAGAATTCGCCCTGAGCCTGCAGGGTTCAGGAATAAATAAAAGACACGACAGTGCTCTAGAGAATTTAAACTAACTACAAAAATTTCCACTTGATACTTTTTCAGAGGCTTTCATCCTTTAATTTTTTCCAAAACTAGAGAACTGACCTAACTTTGGTAAAAATGCAACTACTCAATTTAAGCAATATGTAATAAATTCATACTCTGTGTGTGGTCTGACAGCAGAGACACTTGCTGAACTGGTACTGGGCTCTTCAGCAATTCCTCCACCATCCAAAAACATAGTGACTGCCATCTCCAGATTATTGTTGCAGGCTTCAAGCATATGTTTTCCTACACTTTCACTTGCACCTAAAATAGAAAAAAGAAAAAAAGAGACACTTTCTTACATTCAGCTCATATGAGAATACAGTATTCCCAAGTAAATTATAGTACTTTTTTCCTTTTAGAATGAATGACCATTATTTTTTCTTAAACCCATTTGTTTACATCTACACTATTGGCTGGCTGGTATGAAATATACAGAGCTAGAAAAGAATGTAGCAGCATTAAAATATTAATCTTCCTTCACATAATAAAATAAAAACTAAGTAATGCATTTATTGGTCTTTTCTTTAAATGGCCCAAGTATATATTTGTTAATAAACTGAAAAAAGATTTTTTAAAAAAGACTACATTCTACAAAGTTAGAAACGCTTTCTGTTAGAAAGAACACATTTCAGTTAGCATTTCTGTTTCCCTTAAAAAGAAAGCATTTTTAATACCAATGGCAGAGAAGAAAGATGAGATATTTTTGTCTAAGACATAACTAAGTCAAAATCTGGTACGAAATGTCAATCATCACTTAAAATTGGCTCTGAAACAGACTTACTTATTTGCAAATAAAGTAAAGCCAGCATAGTCTGTTAAATGAAATGTAAATTGGTAAAGTCCTTTAAGAAAACAATTTTACAACATGTATTCAAAAAATAAAAGTATTCATTCCTTTTTTTTTTTTTGTCATTTTTCATTTCTTTTCTGACTCAGTAATTTGGGCTTCTAGTCAAAAGGGAAAAAAACTATATAAAATACTATTGCATAAACATATTCACATACATGTGTAGCATAGCTTCAGTTAATAGTGAAAAATTGGAAACAACATAAATGTCTAATAATAGAATGTAAACTGCAGTATCTGTTTGATAGAACATTTTGTGGCTACTAAAAAGCATCTCAGGCTTTCTGTTTGGGATGATTTTTCTTCTATCTGAATTATGTCCCTTAGAATCTCCTGTTGTAAATGCTCTTCTAAGTTTTTGTTTGAAAATGTCTGTATTTTGCTGTCATCCCTGACAGTTTTACTGGATATGCCATTTCAAGGCTGACAGCTGTTTTCTCTTAGTATACTGAAGACAGCATTTCAATGTCCTCTGGCTTCTGTTGTTGCTACTGGGAAATCAGTTGCCAGACTAAAGCAAAATGTTTTAATAGCAATCTGTTGTTTCTCTCTAGTTGCTTTTAAGATCTTCTCAGTCTTTTAGCCTTCTGCAGTTTCACTCTGATTTGTCAGGGCTGATTTTATCTATCTTCCTTGGGATTCACTGGACTTCTACCATTTGAGGATTATTTCTTATCAATTCTGAAAAATTCTCAGCCATTTCTATTTGACCACTGCCTCACCCTGCAATTCATACTTCCTACTGGAACTACAATTAGATGAATGCTAGAACTCTTCACTCTAACCTTTATATCTCAACTTTTTTTCATGTTTATCACTTCTTTATGTTGCATTCTAGGTAGTATCTTTAATGCTATCTTCCAGTTCACATATTCTCTCTTTAGCTGTGCCAATCTGTTTCTTTACCTGTTCACTTAACTTTCAATTCCAGTTAATTTTTAATAACTAGAAATTATTTTTGTTTATTTCCTTATTTGCTTGGTCATGTTTTAGAGACCCTTAATTCATATTCCCATTTCAATCTCTCATTTCTTCAAACATATTAATCAAACTTATTGGAAAAAAATAACAAACTTATTGAAATTACTGAGACAAAATATAAATTTTCTGTAGTCTCTACAGGTTACTGTCTCTTGTTTCTACTGGATCTTGTTCACTGTGCCAGGGTTTTTGTGCAATTTTGTGATTTTTTTTGACTGATTTTGTGTGCCTTGGAAGTTTAATCTGTAGATTTTTGAAGTCTGGGTTGAAGGTACATTCCTCCTATGAGGATCTGATTTCACAGATTTTCGCTGATTTTCGCTCTTTTTGGGTTTTTTTTGTTTGATTGCGCCGAGTCTTCTTTTGGATTGGGAGCATTGGCGTGTGCCCAGGTGGGGTCGCCTGCGGTCCAGTCTTTGGGCCTTCGCTTTTTGCTCCTCCGGTCTGTCTGTGGTTCATATCAGCGCATCGCTATTTCTGTTATGCCCGACCAGCTCTTTTTTATTTTTTCTTTTGGTCTTCTTTGTTGATTGTCTTTTTTTTTTTTCTTTTCTTGTTTAGTTTGAGCGGTGGTTTGTCTGCTTTATGGCTCTGGTCTTTTCGCTTCTGTTTGGCGCGTTCCGCCTCCGCCTCTTCAGGCACGTGGGTCATGGCTGTGACGTCCGTGCTGCCACCTGCCGTTCTCAACAACGAGCTTTTTCTGTTGATCTCTTCGGGTTTTCCGTTTATATATATAATGAGATTGCGTGTATATATTTCTCTCTTATTGCTTTTTTACTTTGTTGATGGGTCTTTTTCTTCTTTTCTTAGTCTATCGCCTGGGTGTGCGTGTCCTGCATATCTTCTGCTTATTTGGCGCTACCGGCTTGAGACTGTCGCTTGGTGGCCTGGCGTACTTTGGTGCTTGGGATTCATGCTCTTGAGTTTCTCTTTCACAATTTTCTTTGCCGGCCTTGGTGGGTGTCACTGTTGATCAGTTCTCGCTCGCGGCGGACTGGACAGGCGGATGCTATTTATGGCAGAGGTTTTGTTTCGTTTGCTTGTGTTGCCTGCTTTAGATATTTGCTCTAACGGCCCTCTTGCTCATTTCACGCTCGGGCTCAAGCGTGATGTCTCTTCTGTTCCTACACTGCTCTTCTCTTCACGTTGGGTCTTCTCATCTTCTCTGTCCCTCGTCTGTTGAATTCATTCTGGTTGATTTGTTTCGGCTTCGTGGAGTTCATGATAGTTCTTTCTGCCGCCGGCGTACTGTTCTCGCCGCCATTCTCACTCATGCTTGGTACGTCATTTTTTTAATTTTTAGCAAGTCCATCCATCTGATCGGCTGTTTGTTAGTTTCTGACTTCTTCTTGTCAGGTTAGAGCGTTCTCCTTTCCTGCTTTCGTGGGGCTGGCTTGGAAATCTGCCCTTTCATATATGACGCTGCCTACTCGCCTCTGTGTCCATTCTCTTCGGGGAATTGTGTTCTCACCGCATTGCAGTTTCCCTTTTTTTTTGCTCGGTAACGGATGCCTTTGGCTTGTCGTTATCGTGGCTCCTCTTGGGATCTTGTGGGTCTGGGCTTGTTGTCGACGTGTCGCTCAATTTTTATACTTCCCAGAGTTCTTGGAGCTAATTCTTCTAATTTGAGAAACAATAGCTTCTGTTTCTTGGATTATTTTGTTTTTTAAATTTTGGTCTATATTTTATTTGTTTTAACGTAGAACTTACTTTCCCATTCCATCCTGTGCTGCAAATGGTGGATTCACTTCTTTATTGTCTATGTAATATTACATTGTAATGGATACCAATTTTTTTTAAATTTTGATTAGATACCTTACATCCACACACTCTTAAGTGTGTGTCTGTACATAGGTTGGAAAGGACCTAACGTGCTTTGCTTCTGGGTACTTTGACTGGAATCTAAGGATCTAGGTTCTGGATGAGTACCTTGGTTATTAGGTACCTAAGTGTGGTGGTTTCTCAGTTGCTAGTTAATTATGTAGACGCATAGTGGTGGTGTACTGTGTGCAGAGGCAGAATCCCTCATCCTGCCTTGTTGATGAGGGAGATAGAGGCTTTAATATCCTTTCGCCCTGTCCCCCGGTTCTTCTTAACAGTGTGAATTATATTGTGATGCCCAGTTTAATTTCTGAAACAGTATGGGTTGCTTCGTGGTAAGAATAAGCCATAGTTGTGTCGTAAATGCTCGAATGAGCTGTACAAGGTAGTCTCCCTGCGCAGGAAGTGGTGGCTTTCTAGAAAGATCTAGCTGTAGTGTTGGTTTTTGGAACCTGTGACCCTCTCACCACTCAGGAGAAGCACTTGAATGACCGCAGACAGTGAATAGCGCCTGGAGCTCCCAAGGATTTCCTTATTCACCCACAATAGCCTGAGGTTGGATGAGAAGTTAGCTACATAGGACTGGCTCCCGCAAAAGAGCTGCCTTCAGCAGGGGAAGAGGGTGCCAGTCGCCAAGGAGGTGGGGAACCACCAAGAAGGGGTCTGAAACTGCCCCACCAATCTGGAAAGTCTGCTCATGGGAGAGGACTGTCAGATTCACAGACTGGATATCTGAGTGGATTTCCTCTTCTCTATCTCTCCTGTCCCAAGGTCTGCTTGCTTGGTGGGCCCAATTAGCTGAGGCTCTCTGGCAGTGGCATCATGGGCTGTGAGCTCTCTGCCTAGGAATCCGCACCCTTCGGACTGAAAGCATGGCATTCCTGTGGGGGAGGGATGCTCTGTGAGTGGTGCTGCAGCTTGGACCCTACCTGCCTCCCTCCTCTTCAGTTCTGTCTCCATAGCTCCCTTACCCTCCAAAGATTGATTCACAAATTCCCCCCTGTTGTCCCTGAGCAACATTATTGAGTCCCGAGGTATAGGCCTGAAGGCCTGTTCCCCCTCATCTCCCAATGGCCTGACCATTCAGGGTGAAGCGTGCTGGTCCTAAGTGTCCATGGATATCAAGCACGTTTAATGTTCCTTCCACTTTGGAATATGACAGGCTCTGCTGAATAAGCCAGGTGAAGAGCACTGGGGAGGGGCCAATGACAAAAATTCATGTCTGAACACTCTTAGTCTAAGTGCAGTATCTTAAGAGGATTTGTCAGCCCCACTCTTTATGGGAGCTTCATGTAATGGATTCAGCCAACAGAGGGGAGCACTTCTCCTGAGAGTCTCAGCCGTTCACGCCTTTGGGCACCCATGTTCATTTTTTAGGCAGGGGATGGGGAATTAGGGAGGAGAGTCTGGATGGAGAGCTGGCACTCTGGTTCATCTTTGTCTCTTCCAGGATGGCAGCCTACTCAGACTGTCCACTCTGGATGCACACAGATCCTGGACGCCGCACTATCTAATAGGTTTGCAGGGGACCTCTTCCACGCTATGTTGGGATTCTTCTTACTGAAAAGAAAGGGAGGTTCCTAAATTGCATTTTTGTGTCCTAACCTGCTCG